TGAGAGCGAAAGAGAGAGCTGTCGGTAGCGCAAGCAGCCTACCACCTTAATGCTTAACATTGGGTACAGTTGATGGTCCTGACGAGCCAACACACTGAGAGCACACAAAGTCCAAAGGAAGACTTAAAGACAAAGCAACGGCAGCAGCAGCGAGATGACTTTTTCCGATCCAAGATGAATAAGCGATAGAGGGAGGCAAAAGGAGTTGGCGCGCTCGCCCATTAGGTGCCATCGCCTTTGGGATGCTAGGGGCCAAGCAAGGGCGGACGTTGACGAGGTGAACAACGTCTGAACACGGAGAAGATCGGGTCAAGTAGTTAGGCTTAGAGGAGCATCGTGGTTCGATTCGGTCATCCTTTTCCTTTTTCCCTTCTCGTCGTTCCTCTTCGTCAGGGCTTTATCCAGTCCAGTTGTTCGATGCTTTCACGTATGTCCGCTCAAGATAAGCACTCGTTTGGTGGGGAGCTCTATCAGGAGAGGTTTTCGTAAAGACGATGACAGCAGCGACGAGAAAGTAGGGTTGTACGTGCTGAATTGTCGATTCCCTGCGCTGCTGCACTGCACGGCTTCTACTGGCCCAGCTTCTGTGCTCGTTGCTGCGCTATCCCTTCTTCTCATGTCGGTCCGTATCCGTCCCGGAATTGACCACCATGAGTTCCTGCACGCCCAATCAATATGCTAAACAAAACCCTTCACCGCCTATTCTTCAGCCTTTGCCGGTCTTCCGCTGGCCGAACCGGTCTGGGGTTCTAGACCGGCCAAGGTTCAAGCTTTCATTCATGCGTCCCCACTGCCTGCAACTACTTTCTGCTTATACCTGCCTTAGAATAGCATCAGCGGTTCGACCCATCCGTGGTCGTACCAAGGATATGCTTGACGGATGACTATGACTGCTGCAAGGCGCACGACGCAGCCAAGGAGCGAAGTAATTTGGATTCTGTACGATCAGAAAGATTGCCGCTCGTGGCGATGATCTTGGATATTTGAAGTTTCTGACGAAAAGGTACACAAACGCAGGCGCTCCCCAGTACGAACAGAGTGCACTAGCACAAAAAACGATGTGACTTCATTTCAACTTAAAATGTAGTACTACTACTACGTAAGTGCGATCTTCAAGAGTTTCATAATGTGTGTTTTGAGCTCTTCCATCAAGCAGAACATTTACCATTATAATGTAATCTATGTGCGAAGCATTCGGACATTGATATGGTAAATATTAACAGTAACTAGAGCGATAAAACATTATCTGTCATATTGCCTACATATACATAATATATAGCGATGAAAACTATTTCGTTCCGGTACGGGCACGTTACTAGATACGGTGAAATTTATCGTATCATTACAGGAAATAAAAATAGTTTGGTGAAGGATATGTCGCGGATATGTTTCCGACGCGAAATTTATAGTCCCATTTCATTTCTGTTAAACCCTATAACAAAGGTTCAATCGTAGAATCGGCTTACACTAACAAACCCAATCATTTCTTGCCGAGCTTTACATTTAACCGAAGCGAAAAATAGAAAAACTTCCACATAAAATCATCCAAAGCAGAACTCATATAGTACGGCGATCTGAAACTAATCTCGTCCAAATTTGTTGACGATAACTTCAGATCGAGATCAAAATCAGCTGAATGTAGTCTTGATTTCTGATTGATTAATTAGCCGACTGTGCCCTTGCGTGGTTATTCGCTATACCATATAGCATTTTCTGTATACGAAAGAGTTTCTATTATATGACATGTTCTATGATATGATGGACCAACTAACTTTAGTATAATACGTACCTAAAATGATCCATCCCGATCGTTATGGAAGTATTGCTCTCAGCCAGAACTATTTCTGAAGACTATACGATGTCACAACTCTGGCTTGAACAGCGTTCAAGCCGTTACCAGACGTCTGTTAGGATTCACTCCTAATGTTATTGAAAATAACGCTGTCCTTCTAGTTTTTCCAACGTTTTGGCCACGACGATGAGAAAATGATCGTGCAGTCGGCGTAATTTTTAATTTTATAATTGTGTCCTCTTTGTAGTAGACGACCTGGCAACGTTGTGCTGATGCCGTGGCCGTCTGTGCTCCATCCTATATTGAGGAATTAATTTATTGAAACTTTATTGCAACGAACCTATATGTACGTAATGCTTCATCTAAGAGGTCGGTCAGCAATTGTCACCAACAATCGTCTAACTCCTCCGGTTAGGTCATTAGGGAGACCCTACTCCGTACGGCTATCATTCAACTGACAATACCTAGGCCGGGTACATGGATATAGCTTACGTCTTAGGAAAAACCTCTATGCGATTCGGATAGTTACAACCAACTGGCAACTAGTAACCTTCATACAATGACCTTCGCGACGAATGAAGACGTCATAGGACACACGCGTTTACAGCTGCCATGTGGCAGATGGTGACGGTTCGGTCGTTGTTGTCATTTATATTGTGACGATCCGCAATAGAACCAACGACGATGAGAACACTGATCCTTCGCTCTGGTTATTATTAGCCGAGGAGACAGCGCGAGCGTTTGTTAGTCAAAAAAGGCCATGGTTTGATAAATATTTCGGTAATAGGTAAAGTAAATCGGGGTCCAAATAATATGAAATTGATGATTTTTCTCCTCATAGATGATACCATTTATATCCTCACCGTGCCGATAATGTATTCCTGCAAGCAGGAATTTATATATATATATATATAATTCAACAATGTTGCGCTGTGCTAAAATTATATTGGCATTTACTCAGATAATGACTCATTTGTATGTTCATAAACCTGTTAGATACCTTTCCTAGCCACTTGACGAGATTAGGTTGAAAAATATCAAGGCCCGTTGAGCTAGCGCATTAAGCTTCGTTCCCTACCTGGCCTTCGTAATCAAGAGAAAATGGTATCCAGCGGGGGGAAAGATCGAGAAAGGAAAAGATATAAATGCGAGCGCAGACAGCTCACTTGTGTCGGCCGCGGACTGAGACGTAAAGTGAAGGCTCAGTTATCCAGTACGTTCGTCCCGTGTGGCCGATTGTGACAAACAGTCGGCGTGCAAACACAGCATAAAAGTTAGTCGACCAGCGAAATTCACTTAGATCTCCTGACGACACAGAGAATAGGAAAAAAATTAAGAGGAAAGCGAGAGAACGCGATAAGAGCTACCTATTGTATTGCAACCGCGTAGCAATGATCATTCTTCGGAGCATCGAAGCACTTCTCTGCTTCGGCGGAAAGCAGGGGAACGCTGGCTTCATTGTAGAAGAAGCAATAGCAGGGGTTGTACTAGGATAGAACTCTCACCAGACATCGATGGCATAAAACGCTTGACAGCATGAATATTAAAAACTCGATATAACAACGGCCTTAGCAATAGGCTGGAGCCTATTGCCTAAAATCAACGACGAGGCAAACATAAGTTTTTCTCGCTAAGTCTACTAGGGCTATTGCTATTGCCAAAAATGTTATCACGATAGTCGGAACAGGAGCTGGTTTAGTCACCTTGAAGCATTAATAGATCTACATCATTGCCACCGCAATGCCGGCAGCCCTAAGAGATGCAACAATTCGGCTCATTCAGTTCAAGGCCTAGTTAATGCTCGCCGATAGAGATATCAGCATTCTTCTCTACTTCAGCTTCGCTGGCACAGCAGGTGCATTTGGCGCGATAGGACACCAAAGGCGCATAGAATCAGTGGAAAGCCAACAGGGCCTAGCGTTGTATCGAAACAGCGAGAGACTTGAGGCGTCACTGCTGTAACTGAGCAACTGTGCAACAGCGCGCGAAACCCATCGAGAACCCAATCGTAATGGGAACGGCTGTGGCAACCTGTTGCTGGGTGTTCACTTGCTCATCCTTTTGCTCTTCCATATTGACTCTGTGTACATTCGGTTTTGTCGCTTTCGCTACGATTCTTAGTGCTGCTTTGAGTGCTGTTGTCGCAAATCGTGTCCTGCTTGCTAGTCTGCTGCTGCTGCCGCCGCCGCCGCTCTTGTTGTTGTCGTCGTCGTCGTTAACATCCTGACGCAATCCGACTTCTTATTGGTACCCATGCGAAACGCAAAGTGGCTTCAACGTCTGCAGAAAAGCTAATGAACTCTATCGAATGTTGTTTGCTTCGAGAGGAACCTCACTCCAAATAAACCATATGCACTGGCACTTGGTTAGTTGAGGGAATTTTGGTGTTGTTATGCCTGCCCTGGGGGGCTGGCGTATCCTGTAACCAGACGGTGTCACTAGAGGCGAAATTCCTGAATAGACAAGCGGAACAGCAGGGGTCTGAGTAGAAAAGATAGAAAGCTCTAAAAAACTTGCCTCACACACAGAGAGGCAGAAAGCTACATACGTAATCATTATGCATTTGAGGTAACAGGTTACGATGTTACTTAAATAGGTTGTCGAGTGTGGACGGCACTAGATGTGGCCAATTCATCGATGCATCGGGTTCGATTTATCAAATAACGTAGACCAGAAGTGATGGAACAAGCTGCTTTGTCCTATGCCACTCTATTCTTCTCGAAAACGACTGAAGTAAACCATCAAGCGTTCTTATAAGAAGATACTGTGTAATGTATCTAACATCAAATTGAAGTCTCTATGGATTAATCTCTAATGAATTACAAATGTCGTGGAAACACAGTTGACGTGCATCTGAGGCACAGATCCAGAAAAGGCGAGAGACAGATGAAAAGCCATGCCTACAGGATGCAGGCTTGCCTATTACGCGTGTTCCTGTCTGTCTAGACAATCCTTGCAAATAATTAAATATGGATCAGCTTTTTCCAAACCATACAAAAAGGTTTCCTTACTCATATATATATATATATATATATATATACATACACCCTATTTTGGGTTTTAAACTATGCCGTCGACGAAATATCTTATTCGTCGATAATACTCATAAACCGATTGTTGACAGCAGACTACAGTCAGGCCCACTTGGAGTAGCCTTTCTGCTTACATAAATTAAATACATTTTTTTTCCCGTTTGTCTGTCTGTCTGCAAAAAAATCTCTAAGTCGTCGTCTCTTGATACGTATTGATGGTACTCCAAATGTAGCTCCAGATGCTCCTTATGTTTCAAGGAACCGATGAAAGATAGTCCTTCTCAAGTATTTCTCAGCCCGTCACTTTCAAAAAACAGGAGACGAATTCTGTCCTAATCAAACTTGCTGTAACAAAATAAACGCATGATGCACACTTTAAATGTACCTTGTAAGTTCATAGGTAAACCTACAGACATGCATGAATCAGCTACATGGCTGACCCATTACCATATAATTACGATTTGTGTTAACACTGATCACTCGCCAGAAGTAAAAGAAATAGATAAATATATTTATATTGTGTGAAGCGAGTATATAATCCCACCGCGTTATATTAAAGGTATTTACAGAGCAAGCATACAGAGAGAAGAGCGTCAATTGCGGTCAGATTTAAGCATCTATAGTCGAATTGTCATGTTCACAATTTTATCATATAGGTCAGCGTCGACGCGAACAAACGTATCTATTGTATGATCAAGGAAATAGATCGGTTCTGTTATTACGGTAATATCGAAACCCTCTTTGAGTAGATCTATTTTTTTAAGTTTGAAGGTACTGGTCAACTCGATCCTTTTGGCTAAACGAATGAATAGCGGAATCGCGTAGGGTGGCAGTTCGACACGCATGTTCAATAGGAGTGTATTTAGATCGGTCTTCTGTTCGGGGTCTAGCAATGCTGCCATACCAGCCTTACCCTCAACACCTGGCACTTCGACGCCGTAAACGATGCAATCCTGTGCCCCGGTGTATTTACTGATGACACCTTCTACTTCGGCCGTCGAGACGTTCTCGCCATGCCAACGGAACGTATCGCCGATTCGATCCCTGAAAAACACATAGCCCAGCTCGTCGTATTCGAGGATATCGTTAGAGGAGAAACATCGATCGCCTTTACGAAAAACGTCTTTGTAGATTTTCTTCGATGTGGCCGCTTCGTCAGTATAACCGTCGAAACGAATTAGAGCTTTTCTTTTTATCCGCGCGACAACTTCACCTGCCTCGTTGGGGCCGACACGTTTACAGAGCCCATTTTTGTCCCGAATCAGGGCCCCTGTATCTAGGTCTACTTTAATAATTTCCAAATTGAATAGCAGCGGTCCCAGAAATGGGCAGTGGCGACAAATTGTTGGCACAAATCCTACACTACCGATAGTATTATCGATGTTAATTAGGTTTGCATTACCCTCCGTTGATCCATAGATTTCTCGAATATGAGGAATACTAAAGCGAGCTTTAAAATCCGCCCAAATCTGCTGCCGGAGACCATTTCCGAACATAAGGCGTATGGAGTGCTGTCGATCAGTCTCCTTTTCAGGCTGAGTGTAAAGGTACCGGCAAGTCTCACCAATATATTGTGCAACAGTGCACTGGTATTTGATACAATCATTCCAGAAGTTCGACGCGCTAAATTTCGGGACGATCACGCTGGTCTTGCCAAGAATGACACTTTGCGACGTCCCTAGAATTCCGCCGGCCATGTGATACAAAGGGAGGCAAATGTATAGAATATCTGACTCTTTCAACGGCATAAGGTAGTGTATGTGTATCGACAAGTAGATATAGCGAAGATGCTTGATGACAGAGGCCTTTGGCATGCCAGTAGTTCCTGATGTGTAGATATACAGCAGACGATTTTCAAGTGAACCTTTGTAGTTAGGCAGCGTCGTCGGAACTTTTTCTAAAGTTAGCAGAATGTCTTCGGCCGGAAACTCAGTCATGATGTCACTTGCACCATATGCGTAGAATTTGGGTTGAAGCTTTTCATACAGATCAGCTCTCACCTCGAACACGTAAGGCGCCATTTTTGGCGAAAACACAATTGCCCTTGTGTCCACAGCGGTAATGCAATGGTAAAGGGCAGAGCGTCGAAGGTTGTAATTAATAAGAGCTGTCGCGACTCCAAGTTTGGCCATAGCCAGCCAGAAGAGAACGACATCCGCGCGGTTCTCCATAACAAGCGTAACGTCTTCACCAGCCTTGAGGCCTTTCGCGGCGAAATAGTTAGCCAATCTATTTGTGTATTCGTCGACTTCTTTAAATGTCCATTGGCGCTCAGTTTCTATGAACATAACTCGGTTCGGATGTTTAAGCACGCGTTCGTGGAAAAGCGCGGGCACCGTTTTGTCTTGCCACGAAATCAACGACAGAACTATTCCTGATCGCCAGTAGCGAATTGCTGCCGTTATGTCTCGCGGAAATGTTCGGATCATCACATATATTGGTTTGTATCTTAACACGATGAGGAGCAGGACACTCGCTAAGAGTCCGGCCTGCCATGATACATAATGTATAATAGCAAGCACTGCTGCAAAACTCAATACAGACACTAGGGCCTGCATTGCCGCCTCAGCTGCAACCTGGTTGATGTTAAGCACACGTCACTTGAAGTACACGATGAATATAGACAACCCATAAGCGGTATAATCGTGTTCAGGTACACATCAGTCGTTTTTCTACTGAGCCACTTCGTCTTTATCTTTTAATTGTCAAGAACAAACTGTTGCTAGCTATGGCACGTGCAGTCACTTCGTAGCGACGAATTCTTTTTTTTTTGATGCAGCGTACTCTGTTGGTCGTCGTAAAGGCGACAATAGATATGTAGAACCTATACTGGACTGTCTTAGATGGTCCGGGATGGACGGTCTTGATAGCCGCCATTTTTTAGCAGCATCCAACATCATCGGGGGGAGGGGCATGTTGCATCTGGGGGTATCTAATCTCCGGCGAGAAGGTTGGATACCGACCATCGCGACAGGCGTGGAGGCCCGCAACCAGCTGCGACCGTAACAAAACACCTTGAAAGGGAGGAACGCGCTTGCATTTGTCGTGAGTAGCACCTCGGCGTAGGTTGTTCTATAGGTAACAACTTAATTCCATGTCTATTTCTAGGAAAAGGCGGGGTGACAGTCTTTCTCATCTAGTCAACTTCGCCGAAATGGAAAGCAGAGACCCTGACAGTGGTTTTTCCCTTCAAGAGGCGCCAGCAATGTCGACAACTGCGACTTTCGAAAACTATACGACCACTAATACAACCGTCAAGGACACAAAACTATCTTTCCCACATTGAGATGGGCCACCTTACGCATATTGGGCTGGTCATCTGTTGTTTCGCAGCTTCCCCCCCCCCCCCCCCCTCTCTCTCTCTCTCTCTCTCTCTCTCTCTTGCTTGCTTGCTTTCAGTATTCTAGATACATACATACATGTCTCTTCTGCAAACATTGCACTGAATAAAAGCATTAGGCTAAATACATTTAGCTTCCCTGTTCGTCGCAAGGGGTGTTTTTTTTTTATTAAGAAATTGCCCATGGTTTTAACTCAAGCAGTCCACACTTCTTCTCGAAGCGTCAACAAGCGTTTGCTCAAGGGTGACATCATACGTTTGCCGCTAGAGGTAATTGAACATACAGACCCTTGTAAGCAGCGTAACCTGTTTTCTCAATAAATGTATGTTGAAATCATATATATATAAACAGGTGTAATAACGCCGGTAGCATTGCCACTAAGCTGATGCCGCTAGCCAAAAATTAACATTACATAATTAATCCTCAGTATACGGAACATAAAAAAACGATATTTTTAAACCTGCACAAGGATACACAGCGAGTTCCTTGTTTATCGTCTTCTCGCTGGCCGATTCTGGTCAATTTCAGAGTCGAATTAACTTGAATCAAACTTTTTTTTCTGTTGAATTGCTTACCATTACTCTATTTTTATGCTATTTGTTCTGGCTGAAGTTATAAATGTCTGGTCAATGATCTGCTTACAAAACTTGCAAGAGCCCTATTACCGTATGTCTAGTTTTAGTGATAAATTATTATGATTTTACATGAAGCCCTATTGTAAACGCCACTATTTTTATTTGTATCATTGTGTAGCCATGTTTAGATATACATAATAATAGTTTTTACAATTCGTGTCACAATAACAGCCAGCAGTTCTTATAAACGCGTTGTCAGTGGAAAACTATTGTGACTTTCACACTCAAAGGTTATGCAGATGTCACAATTTTTTTTGTCGTTCTATTAATAATCGATTAAATGATCACCGAGATCAGGAAGAACTCTGCTATGAGATTGAGTTCTTTCTGATCTTCTTTAATTCTTAACTGCGACATCTTTAGATGACTAAGGGGCAACTTAAAATTGTCACCTCACCAGACCATTCCATACTGATATCATGAAGTACTGTTTTTGGCTTTGCTTGATTTCAAATAATGCTGTATATTTTTTAAACTACGCATTGTTGGCAGATGGAATTATGCGTATCATGTATTTGGTTATATATGGCCAAGCTGACTGGTGTTATTAGTGAATTATGAGTTGAGGAAGAGATATATCCTAGTACTGAACATCGACGCCCAGTGATTTCGTCTTTGTTTTTTGGTTGTGAGGTCGCTGGCAGAAGCTGGCAAAGATTAACGAAAACACTAGATAGAGGGGTGTTTAGTGGAACAATAGTTTGTTACTGGTGCAAGCAACTTAAAGGTAAATTGGTAGGTGAAAGGACATGGAGGAAAAGGTTACATTTTAGAAGGAACGAGTTGCTGCGAACATGGGAGCTGTTGACCAAACCAGAGTCTACACAATAGGTCTCTGGCAGGTTTAATAAAGGGTTCCTCAAGTTACACCCTATGAAATTGTAACGAAAAAACTATAGACGAAGAGCAAAAGTGCATTTTTTTTAACCGATTCCAGAAAAGATTGAAACACCTTGGAGAGAATTCGCCTAATTAATGACTCCGACAAGCCATCTGGAGCGCATTGCTCCCATGGACGAGGCATGGATTAGTTTGCCCCACCTACCAAGGAAAGATTAGACAAAAGGGCGTCGGACACGAGAGGAAAGGATTCTAGTGGCAGGATCGAAGCGTAAGCTGTCGCTAACACTCACAAAGGATATCAGAAGCTTTCGCTCTGTTACGAAATACTGCCCGAAAAGGAATTGGTCGGTGTTTCCAGAGCTTTCGAATTTCTGAAAACCTCATGGATAGCAGTTGAAAGTAGGGGGAATAATTATTCGATGACGTTATCGTAACACCCTTTCTTTCGAGGACAACAGGATCAAGCGATGTCTTCGGCTTCAATATTACTAAAATTTGAGCCCGTGTGATTTCAGCTGCTTCCATGGTTTAAAAAGGCCACCTGGGTGACGTAGCGTACTTCACCGTCAACTCTGTCGAACAAACTTTTGATAACGAGATTAGGTGTGGTAATATAAATCGCGAGTACATACTACTTAAAAAGTTCCCAAAAAGCTGGATTAATGAGCAAAAATTGAAGGAGAGTACATCTGGGTTTACCTCGTGTGATTTAAAAGTTGTTCATGCTTGAACCCATTCGAATGGTCGTTCCAGACCATTTTAATACCGACCGTGTACAATACCTAATATTTGTTTTTCGTCGTAGATTTTTTAATTAACTAAGTTACATATGAGCGTTGTGCAGGGCTATTTTCCTTGCCAGCTACTTTCGGCCATATTTGGATAACTCAATTAGGTGGAAACAGCTCGGTGAAACAAGAAATATATATCGAACGAGTACCCGCCACGTGTTCGGTAGACGACTTACCCGCATTTCTTTCAGCATCGCATCCTGCTTCAGTGAAGATCAACTTAGCAGACTGCAGCATAACATGGCGTTGACCTCGATAGTAATAGCCTTCGATGGTGGTCAAATGTCTGTCATTGCCATCCACTTCATGGACATCAAGAGCACAACTAGTTAGGGCATAACTCCAACGACAAAATGCATATGACAATGGCAATAGGAAGAAAGGCATAGATTCCGATGCCCCTCTACAGGCGCCCTATAGCAATCGTTTGATTGAACCGATTATAACGGTCAGAAGCAAAAAAGGTATACTTTATTTATTACACCAAACGAAAGGTCGGAGGCTGCTATAACCTCTAAAAATTTAAAACGCGACAACATGTCTTGCTTAATAAAACATTTCGATCCCGTTGAGCAGTCGGACATGATTTAAGAGACGGTACACAATGAACCCGCCGACAACCGCGTTACGCCCTGTCCGCTGACTCATAATGCAATGTGACATTGTGAATAGAGTTTATTCCGTGCTTTGACTGCAGCATTCGTAATCTACTTAGGATTTTAATCATCATCGTGGTTATAGCTATACACGTTTCAGTCGTTATTAAATATAACTCCGATGAGGCGTGGCTGTAAATGCTCGCCAATGTTCTTCTCATATTATTCTTGTTATTGTGTGTTATTGGTATGTTATTGTTATTATCATCGTTATCTTAAAATGTATCACATTCTATAAAACTTGGCGGCAGACAACGTATGCAGAATGGCAACGAGAGTACCTCGGAAAAATCACTATCAAAGGATTATCTCTGTCAATGAAACGGCCAGCTCGCGATAACTGGAGTCTGAAACGAGCCAGATGTAAGAGCTTTACGTAAATCATTTGGCGTAATTTTCTTCAAACGTACGCCTGTGTCCTTCGCGTTGTCTATTTATCGGGTTAGTGGTTTGTCTATCGGTCGATGCGCGTATGCCCTCTTCGTAAATCCAGACTCTCTGACAAGTGCGTTGGTCGTACGAACGCATTATCACTGATAATAAACAGATAAATTTTAGACTAAAGTAAAAAAAAAGCCGCTGCGCCGGCGATCACCCAATACTTCGTCACTCATATTTCGTTTGCCGGTTCATCTCGATTACGACCGTCCCGGCCGTATGGCGTCAGGACCTTCGACAAAGTTTCTAGCCCATATTTGGCTCGTTTTTTAAGCCTCGGCATTGGTGCGATGCGCGCTTATTTAGGCACGAAAACGCTAAACGAATGCATGCTATCTATATTCGAGGGTCCCCATATCTCTGTGTGCATGCGATAATAATTTATTTCGATCGGAGGAAGATCTCAGAATATATAGTAATGCTACAAAACATAATTGTCCTGATATCTGCGCTACTGCTGCTGCTAATTATAATAGCAGTAACGAAACTGATCTCAAATCTGAGAGAACGGAAACGAACTTATAGATACGGGGCGGAAATCGAAAGAGGTTGTCAAGGCGTGCGGCGTTTTCCTTTTGCCATACCCCTTCTGTGATCCCTCTTTGCTGAAAGACCATACTTTGACTGCTATTATTGCCGCGAGCTGTTGCAGCTCTAACTTCGTAGTTCCGTACGTAAGATTCGAAAACTTCAGATGACCCAGCATTGAGATGCTCCTCAGAGAAAAGTATGACTCGACAATTATCATACGTATCGGTCCGGTATGAAATTCACTAGTCTGGAATTTCCACGTCGCCGATATTAGTCGCGAAGGCAAAAGTCATATTGAACTACCAGTATTATGATAATGTTATCGTTGTCGATCGTAATGACATTGTGGTAGATTGTCTAGCTAATTGCTGTGCGGGTTGACAATTGTAATTGCCCTGGGTAAACTATCTGACCGGTCGCACAAAAAAGAATACTACCAGAACGCGATGGCATTGAAAGTGCCAGTGGCAGAAAGAGCCGGATTGATAGTAATGGCAAGGGCAACCCCTCAACACACCGGTAATTCTTGTTTCTGCTGGCGTGTGTTGACTTAAGTGAAAATATCGGATGCTGGCTCATCCTGAACGTATT